ACTGTCTATCTAGGCCGGTCTCCAGTTAATAACCTCCCTTCTTCCACCTCCTGCGTTGTAGGACTGCGGCCACCGGGGCCAGCGTTCTAGGGCAGTGCATGAGTCACTGAAAGACTAGTGTCTATTTAGGAGCCTTTGTACATAGATGTAACTTACCAAAGTGCTTCGTAGGCCCTTGGCCAATGCTTATTTTTAAATTTCTCTCTCTCTGTCTGTCTGTCTGTCTTGCTGTGTAACCAGACTAGCCTTGAACTCCTGATCCTTGAACTGCCTCAGCCTCTCCAAATACAGAGATTACAGCCATGTGTTATCACACCCAGCTTGCACAGCCATCTTTATTGTTTTATAATAATTTATTGCATTTGTATTTTTATGCCAGGACATTGAACAGCTCAATGAAATAGTCTAAGAGGTTTTCCTTCAAGGCCAGTGAGATGGGTGTGTAAAGGTACCTGCTGCTAAGCCTGATCCCAGGACCCACATACTGGAAGGAGACAACTGATACACGTGGTTTTTAAAAGAGTAATTCTTCCAGTGGGGGCACTTTAAGGGTATGGACGTCTCGGTGTAATTTATGTTATGTTTTGAGATGGAGCTTTGCTGTTGTGCCTAAACTCTTGGGCAGAAGTAACTCCTCTTCATCAGACCCAAGTACCTGGGATTACAGGTATTGCTAACTCACCTGGCTTAGTTGCATCATTATTTTTAATGCAAGAAAGAAAAAGCTCCTTGCTGATAAAATTCCATTCCTTAAGGCCCCCAGCATTCTTACTTCTCTCCTGTGGGACCAGTAGTCACACAGTCATGAGCGTTGAAATGAACTCCTGTCACGGTGACGCTATTGCCACACAGAGCCTTGATCCTGTGCCCCAGATAGGAGCTGAGCAATGAAAAGATGGATTTTTATTGGTGCTGGGGTTCAATGAGGCACACCACGTTTTATGACCTTCCATTGTTCTATGTATAGGTGCAGCTCAGACAACAACATACATCTGTATTTGCTCACAGACTAAATCTAGGTGCTACTTTAAAAACTACACATTTAAAACCTTGTTGCAGTGCAGCCAAACAAGTCCCTAGAAGCAAATTCATTGCTTTGGATATTCACACTAAAAAAAAAAAGGTTGAAAATTTGAGCTGAGGATCCAACTTAAACTGGGAAAAACACCCCCAACACATAGTAAAGAAGAGAAAATAATGAAATGGAAAACAAATGATGCCCAAATTGGGTATTTAAATAAATAGCATAACAGGTTCTCCAATGATCAAGTTAATTCAGCAAAAAAGAGGGAAGACACATTCAAACAATAAGGCAATACAGTCTATCTAGAAATTTTAAATGTACATTTTACCTGTGTGTATGTCTGTATACCACATGCATGCCTGGTACCCACGGAGGTGAGAAGAGGAATTTGGATCCCCTGGAACTGGAGTTACAGATTACTGTAAGCGTCCATGCGGTCCTGGGAATTGAACTTGCTCTGGAAGAGCAGCCAGTGCTCTTCATCACCGAGTCATCTCTCCAGCCCCAGTACTTCTTTCTAAAGTGCCAACAGCAAATTAGAGACCCTGCCTGGGCCAGAATTGTGGCTTGGCCAACTCCCTTCTCCAGCACGTACAATAGCCCAGTAATATGTATAGTAGACCCTTAGGATGCCGGCACTGTGGGGGATCACCCTTCCCAGTTGGCCTATTATCTGAGGACAGGCCCTTGGGGGATGAGGAGGAAGCCTGAGAACAAAGCAACCAGTACTCGCCAACAGATCACTCATATCCCTGGCCTTCCTCTTGTTTTAGAAGAAAAGCATGGAAGAGCAACTGTTTACCTGTGTGAAGGCCCCCTGAAGTGGAAAGATGATCTCCTGATGCTAGCAAGCATTCAAAACCCCCACCGTCTTAAAGGCTCCCTCCCTAGGTAGTGATTTGAAACACCCAGTGAGTAAGGGCTCTGACTCAATGTTTGCATTCCATCAGGGTTGATTCTGACCCTTATCTAACAAGCAGACGAGGTTGAGACACACAGAAGAGTCCATATGCAGGAGTTCAGTATAGGTAGGAAATCCCCTTGAGTAAGGAGATGGCTCCGAACAGTCCTCCAATTGACAGTCACTCCTGACTGAGCTCCTTGGAGTTCCTTCTAGTTGTTAAGAAGCTACGGCCATCCAGCCTCCGAAGTGACTGCTCTACCTTGTTCCCATCAGGATGATAAGGACTCACTGCACCAAATAAAGTCGCAGCCAGCCTGGCTGGATGTATTCCCTCCCAATGCCCCTGTGGGAGCCCACAGAGGTTTCCTAGTGAGATCTGAGCTCGCTTTACCAGCAGGGCTGCATAAGAAGATGATTGGACCATGGGCCTGGGTGCCAGGTGTTTGGAAGGGTCTGCACTTGGTTGTATCTAGCAAGGGGGAGGTCTTTTGCCTCACCCCTTGGCATTGTTATAAAAAGCCCTTTTGAATAAAGTTCCGGGCCGGTGGATAACGATCCAGGCCCTCTGGAGGCTATCCTGTGTTTCTATCTGTTTCTCTCCCCTCTATCCTTCTATCTAAATCTCTCATCCTTCTCTCCTCAAGAGTACCCAGGTAAAGGTGGGGGCATGTCCAGAGGACCACCATAGTAACGGAGAACTAAGATTGACCCATGGCAACCTCCACAACCATATGGGACCTGGCAGGGTCTCTAACATGGCCAGCCTCAGCTCTCCCTTCTTCAAAGCTAAGACAAATCATATCTCCCCCTACAAGTATCACATGCAGCCTGTCTACTTCCACTTCATCCAATGAGTACCCTCTTTGTAGATCTTTAACTTCAGGTCTGAAAATATACTCAGTTCACAATGTCAGCTGAAGCTAGAATCACAGTTTTGTTCATTGATTTGAGAGTGTCTACAATAACAAAAATGAATTTGCTCACATTCAAAATGAAGGAAAGCACAGGGAAGCCTAGGAGGTTCTGTGAGACTCTGAGTTACTTTTGGTAGCGAGGCTTCCAGGATAGATGCGAGGAGTTGCCTCATGAGAGTCAACACTTGAAAGACAAGCTACAAGAAGTTAAAGTTATTTGGGATTTGAAAAGGAAATCTTTCTGGGAGGTTTCTAAGCCTCATCTGCAGCTTTAAGGAAGGCATGCTGAATAACATCGTAGCTTGCCCCTGAAGAAGTCTGATCCATGCTCTGTGCACACTGAGATGTCAACTGCTAGTGACTATAATGGCATGCACAGGATGAGAAAGCCAGACTGAAGAAGTTAATTGACAGACTGTAGCCACACAGACCCCTAGAGCCCGTGTCAGGACCATTCTGCACCGTGTTTAAGAACTGTCAATCACTTGACAAAATTCTATCAACCCCAGAACCCCAGCACATTCCTGAAGTACCAGTCAGAGTATCTGCTCACAGATTTTTATGACCTTCTTCTTGATGATCCATCTTGCCCATGGATCACATTCATTCATGTCTACCTTTCTAGAGGGGCTGTGCATTTTGTTTTGGAAGGCTTTTTATGGTCACCTTTTTAATAGAATGTGTATGTGTGCACATGAGCATGCATGCACACTGGGGGAGGGTGCATGAATATTCCAGTGTGTTCGTGTGTATGTGGGCATGAAGAAGTCAGAGGATAACATCTTGTGTTTTGAGGCAGGGTCTCCGGAACTTCCCTGAGTAGGCTACCATACCCACAGATGGCCTTACGGGAAAGAATAGCTTCGTAGAGCCGTATCCCAACTTAGACATGATCACCAAGGAGAGAGAAAGTACAGAAAAGGCAGTCCTGCCTGCTGGTGTCTCACTTTTTGTCTAAGCAAGTGTTTTGGACAAGAACTAAGAGATGAAAATTGTCCTCCACTTCCCTAAGTATACACAATCATCTTACAAAGATTAAGTCAATCTATGACTTAGGCAAAATCCAACAGGACTTTTGTTTCATCCCTGTGGACCCGGTACCTCTGAAGCACTTTTTTTTCTTTTCTTTTTTTTTTTTTTTTTTTTTTTTTTTTTTTGGTTTTTCGAGACAGGGTTTCTCTGTGTAGCTTTGCACCTTTCCTGGATCTCGCTCTGTAGACCAGGCTGGCCTCAAACTCAAAAAGATCCGCCTGCCTCTGCCTCCCGAGAGCTGGGATTAAAGGCGTGCGCCACCACCACCCAGCCTTAAAACGTGAAAACCCATAGCCTCACAGCGCACCATGCTGGAGGGTGCAGAATCAGACTTAAGTTAGGGAGAGGGGAGGGGAGGGGAGGGGAGGGGAGGGGAGGGAGGGAGGGAGGGAGAGAGAGAGGGAGAGAGAGAGAGAGAGAGAGACCACAAGTGTGGGGATTGCCCGGACTCCAGCAGCCACCACAGCGCATGGAGACGGGTGCCCCTCCGGCTGCCTTCCTATAATTGACTAGCAGAAAATACCGTAAACTCTTGTCCACTACCCCAGCTTTCCCAACTTCTCTTACATTGCTGCTCTTTGTCCCCAAAGCAGTTTTACCAAAATTATTGCCCGGGAGAGTCTCGACCTTTGTCCCCTGCATTTCAGATAATCATTTGGGCACTGGAAAAAAGTTGTGCCATCTTCAAGTCTTCTAAGTCGATTCCCCCTTCTCCTGCGCCCCGCTGGAGATAAGCCAACCTAGACGTGCCAACATAGTTCTACCTCGCCTGAAGGCGGAATCCTCAGCCAAGAGGGGACCCATAATCTCCAATCACTGTGCAAACACATCTCAGTGACAAGTGCGGAGGCAGGTGTGTGTGAAGCTTCTCCGAGTTGGCTTCTAGGAAAGTTTTCCTTTTTACCTGAAGCCAGATCATCTCTTAGCCCACTCTTTAGGACAGGGACATAAACAAAAGATTTTCCCAGGTATTTGCAAGGCGGCACTTGCAAGCATGGGCTGGAACCTGGTGGGTCCCCAAAGGTGGTCATCCGGTGTGTGGGTCCCTAAGTCACAAAGACTCCAGAGACCTAACCTGCTCACCCTTGCAGTGTGGCGGTGAGATGAAGCCCAGAGCCACGCTTACCTGGCTGACGATGGTAGAATGGGTCTCCACATAGCGCCAGTTGCCGCTGCAAGGCACCAGGGGCGCGGAGCGGTTGGGAAAGGCAGAGAGTGGGTCACAGCTGAGATCGGTGCTGGCATTGGTGGCTTCCAGCAGGTAGCGGTGGCAGTGGCCTTGGCCTCGGCGTTCGGCCGGGGTGCGGAGCTCGGGCGCGGTGAGGTTCCATTCCTCCTCTGGGCTCCAGGCGCAGCGCTCGGCCAGCTCGGTGGCACGCGGCCCACGACACCAATAGTAGTCCGGCTGGATGCCCAGGAAGACCACGCCAACGAAGAGGAAGGCGAAGGTGATACCGGTCAGGCACAGCAGCAGGAACACGCGCCGCTGGAAGCGCCCGAACTCGCCCGCCTTCCTCAGCGCCTGGTCGAAGGTGGGCATGGTGCGCGCCGGCACCCCGCGTCCTGCCGCCCGCTGCTCCGCCAGCAAGTGACCCGCGGGCGCCGCCGCCCGCAGCTCTGTACCCGCCGCCCCCGCCTCGCTCGCTCTCTCGCCCTGGCAGCCCGCCCCGGGCCGCTCCTCCCGCTCCAGGCTCCCGGCCTCCCGCCCGTTCGCGCCCCGGGCTGGCATAGACCTGGAGAGCAGGTTGGGGTGGGTTTGTGGCAAGTGTCACTGTGCACCAAGGCCTGGATCTGTAGCCTGCCCTAAAATGATATCCCGGGTCGGAGTTCCCTGGGTTCCAGGATCACCCAGCCTGAGACTCTGCAGACTCCAGGAATAGCTTTCAGTGCTCTGAGGCTGCTGAAGCCGAAACCTCTGAACTCCCAAGGTGACAGTCAGCCAGCTCCAGGAACAGGGCTTCACACCTGCCCCTGCCTCATCACGTGCCTAGAGCCCTGGGTGGGATGTTGGCGACACAGCAGATATTGGCTAACTATACCAGCAGGACAGAGGGACAGCCCACAGGGCTAAGAGATTTGCTTAATCCTAAAAGTTCAAGAGGAGAAAGGACCGCCTTAAGGAAAAGTCCTTTGCATATATTCGCATCCTGAATCTCTGGCAAACAGTGATGCTTAGTCCGTTTGAATCCATCATAGCGTCTTTGCTGCCCCTCAAAGATCTGTAGATCCTATAGAATGGATGCACAGGGGGGTCCACACACCATTACCCCATCGCCGGGCTCACTGGGCTAGCGTAATCCGCTGCCAGGCTGCAAATTCACCAGTGCCGACCACCGGAGCGTCCGTGTTAGCACGCTCTACCTCCGTATTCTAATTTTCCAGCTAGCTCTTGTCCTGGTCCCCACCTCATGCCATCACCCAGCCATTAGCTAACTTTCTCAAGCGATCCAAAGAATGCAGATTTAGCTCTCTTCCCCACAGCGAGAACTCCGGAGCCAGGCTGCCATGTTCCAGCCCACCTCATCCCCCATACAACTTGTGACCCTGAGAAATTTCATTGACCAGCTCTGGTTTTCCCATCTTTTAAATGAGTCTAACAACATACCTACTTTGTAGGGTCCTGAGTGGATTGACAAGAGGAAATTACCAGAAAAATACTAAGGGTTTTCACTCAGGAATCATTACCGTAGCTCTTTGCTACTGAGCAAGCATCAACCATGGGTGGGTTCAAGAATTGCTAAAATCATAGAGCATAGAAAGGCGCTCTCTCTGTCTCTGTCTCTGTCTCTGTCTCTGTCTCTGTCACACACACACACACACACACACACACACACACACACACACACACACCTACTCCCAGTCACTTCCATGTTTGTGTCTTTCTCTGGTCCCATTTGTAACTGTAATTTATTTTTTTCCCTCTGCTTCGAAGGGAGTTTGAGAAAAAGTGGCCCACCTTGCTCTCCAAATGAAACCCTCAAGTCTCAGTGTTCTTCCCAAGTCCTAACCTCGTTCTCTTTCTGTCCCCTGCTTGTGTTTCTGGGTCTTGGACCTGTTGGGTCGGGATGGGGGCATTACTTGCATATTTGTGTGCTTTGCTCACTGATAAACCTGCGGGATGACATGTGCACCATCATCTTGGTCTGTTGATTAACATCTGTTTCTCTGGCACTAAGAAATCTCAGTGTGGATGAAACAAAGTATACATTTTTCATAACTCCTGCTTGGTGTGTCTTGTCATCAAAATCATGTTTTCCTAAGATCTCAAATGCTTTCTCATATTCACATACACACATATATCCTGCCTAGCACTCGGTGCCAGTCTGCACTGAGCTACACCCTCACCCAAGGTCTTTATATAGCCTTATTAAATTGCGTTTTTCACATTGAATTTTAATATCTCTGGAGTTAATTCTGTGCAGAGCATGGTAGACTCTAATTTACTGATGTCTTCCATATAATCAAGCAGCTCTCTGAATGCACTTCACCTTGTCTGGATTACAGCTCTACCCTTGTCTTTATGAGACTCCTAGCTAGGCTGGAAGAACCTGACCTGTGCCCTTCACCCTGTCCTGTGTCTGTCTGTCTGTCCCCAAGCTGCTGTCACTGTTCACAACTGTCTATCACAATCTTAGTATCTAGTAGAGCAAGTCTGCCTCTCATCCCCCACCATCTTGTCCCTCTTCAGAATGAACTGGGCCATTCCTGAGGCTCTTATCTTCGACATACTCTTCACATTTTGATAAATTCCATACATGTTTGACTGGGACTTTTATTTAAAGTCATATGTGCACTTTATTTCTCCTTCTGCTTTGAAGGGAGTTTGAGAAAAAGAAAACAAATCTCTCTTTCTCTCACACACACAGGTATACATGTGTGCACACACATATATACATATACATATATACATGCAGTACAGTGCTAGAATGGAGACCGGGGCCTCAGTTGTGTTAGGCAAGAACTCTACCACTGAGCTACCTGGCCAGCCCTTGATCTTTTTATCTTCAAAACACAAATGCAGTTGGGTGTGCTACAGCACACCTATAATCCCAGCACTTGAGAGGCAGAGGCAGGAAGATAACACACGTTTAAGGCCAGCCTCTTCTCTATAGTGAGTTTTGACCGGCCACGGGTATATAGTAAGACCCTGTCTCAACAATAGCGACAAACCCATTGCACACTGCTCCACCCTTGTCCCATCCAATGTGGTACAGCCACACACAAGTCCTTAAACTCTCATTCATAGAAAGGAAACCATGACAGACTGTGTTCCTTGTGGCCACGTGTGCTTAGTGTTTAACATGTGCTCTTCACAGAAAAAAGAATGTTTGTTCCTTCACCAGGGGACATTCTGGGGCATATTACTGACCTAGACACTGAGACCAACTAATTCTGGTTGGAGCTTCCAAAGACAACCAGAAATAGAACCCCCAGGCTTCCCATTACAAAGCTACAGCAGAAATAAAACGATATAATGAAGACACTTTCACTCCCATGTCTATTGTATTACCATTGCTAATAAACAAGGTATGGAACCAACGATGACATCCATGCATAGGTGAATGAAGAAAAAGTGTGTCAGTGGATGAAGGGTGAAGAAGAAAATACATGTATCTGTAGATGATGTGTGTATGCATATACGAGTGGATGTTATTCAGCCAAAGTAAAAGAATGAAATCCAGTCACTTGCAGAGCTGGATGGAACTGGAACATGTCATGACACAGAACATATATTGACACAGAAAGTCAAACCCAGATGCTCTCACTCACATGTAGAAGCTTAAAAGACTATCTGGGCTCCAAGAAGAGGGGGTTAGTGGTTGCTAAAGTCCAGGAGGGGAGGAGGGAAGAAGGGGTGGAGACAGAAGTTATAGTTCAGTTACCAAAATTCAACAGAAGGAGGAATTAGTCCCAGTGTTATTTGAAACAATAAGGTAACCACAGGACACCACAATTAGGATGCATTTCAAAACAATTAGAAAAGTCCAAAGGTTCACAACCCAAAGAAATGGCCGGTGTTTAAAGAGATTGGGAGACTAATTAGCCTGATTTGGTGATAACATAGTATACCACACTCCACGACATGTCTAAGTAATATGTGTTCATTTGAAAGATAAAATGCCAATTGAATAAAAATTCACTGCCTTCTGCCTTCAATTTCTGTAAATCATACTAATACAACTGTTTTAAAGATCACTTTTAATTATGTGTGTGATCACTTTAATTATGCATGTTTGTCTGTATGTGGCTATGTGCACATGAGTGCAAGTACCTGCAGAGACCAGAAGGGGGCATAGGATCAGTGGAGCTGGAGCTCCAGGCAGTTGTGAGCCTTCTGGTCCAGGTATTGTATATCAAACAGTACCTCTGGGAGAATATTACACTCGTAACCTCTGAGCCGTCTCTCCAGCTCTAGAAACACGACTGTTTCAGTTTATTTATCTGAAAATTACAGATGTCATTTTGAGAGTTGTAGACTGGTAAATAAATATAAGGTACTATAATATACTCACCATATACTGAGTTACCAAAGTAAGTAACTCTCATTTATTCTGTTTGGACAGAGTAAAGCACATGCTCATACACACACATACCCAAGTGTGTGTACACACACACACACCACAATTTATTTGTCTTGGAAATGTATGGTAAATGTTAAAATACAACCTATTTTTTGGAATGCATTGACGTGAACTTGGCAGGTGAACTGGTACCAACACATGCTCAGGGAAGAGATCAAAAGGACTCATATCTTCCTTCCCCGTTTTCAAGGAGTGGATAAGAATGCCCCAGAGACTTGCTCTTTCCATATTTGGCACCATGGAATAGCTCTTTCCACCTTCCCCTGTTTATGCAGCAGGAACTCCTCCTTGGCACTGCTGTTACTCTATGGCTGTAATTGCCCCGTTGCCAACCCCAACTTGATTGATCTTGACCAACAGCCATTATCATCTTTCACTTGTCAATTGATTTTAGTCACTCCCCTTGGAGAAAATGTTGGTTTTGCGGGGAAATGTGGCCAATACTTTATCCTTTTCAAATGAATGCTTTCTACAGTTAGTCCTCCTGGGACCAGCTCTGGATGCACTCTGGGTAGCGACTCCTGCTGCTTGGCTGCGCTTCTGTACAGGAGAGACACCCTCTCCAGTTCTGCATCCTTTCCCTTGCCTGCTCCCTCTTGGTACAATCCTTCTTTTAGCCAACGTTGATGCTTTAGACATCAGTGTGCCCCACCAAGTTCCTATCTTGAAGCCTTAGCCTCCACGGAGACGACCTTTGGTAGATCATTAGGTAAGGTGAGGTCATGAGAACGGGGCCCTCATGGCGAGATAATCGTCCTTCTTTAAAGGATATGTATTCCTTAAAAGGAACAGAGTGAGAGAAGAACGCCACTCCAGCCAAGCTGTCACCACCGTTTGGACTTCCATCTGGAGAACCCTGGGAAAATCAGTGTCTGTCCTTCAGGGTCCCCATCCGTGGTGTTCCGTGTCAGGAGTCAAGCAGACGGGCACAGCTGACGTCTAGTTGCTTCCAGCAAAAACACGGAGCAATTAGAGAGAGGCTGAGGAAGACAACCAAGACCTAACTTCACTGTGTAAAGCCTACAAAGGTGTAAATGCCCTCAAATAGGAAATGATGATATTAGCAGGGGGGAAAAAAATCCTTCTTGATTAGGCTTTTATCAGCCACAGGCAAAAGAGACCAAGTCTCTAATAGTTTAAAAGCCTGTGTGCTAATTTGTGTTGCAATGAAATAATAAAAATCACAGAGTGGAAGATGGAGTCTCTCCTCTGGGCTCGGTAGAGCACTGTCAGAGTGTGACATCGTCTTGAGGACTTGAGTCACACTTGGAGGAAACTGGCTTCCTTCCAGGAGTGACCAGTCTTCCATCTTCCGCCCTGAGCTGCAGA